CCCCCCCCCGCCGTGCCCCATGATCCCCCCCACAGCCTGACACCGCTGTGTTCCTGGGGCTGTGGCACAGCTGTTCAGCACACGCCCCCGTGCAGATGAAGCCTGCCCCAGCCCCTGAGCGTGTGGAAAGCGCTGATGGGTGGCGATAAGAAACTGCCGGCATTGGCAGCTTTCGGCATCCTCATTCGTCTGACTCAGCGACACCCGCGGCTTGTCCAGACCTGCCCCCTGACAGGGATGTGCCAGTGAGATCTACAGACTCAGTGGGTCCCTAGAGAAACCAGAGGCCGGGCACAGGGGAACACTGGGTGGACGTGGCTGCAGCCTGTGAACCTGCAGCCAGACATCTTCTGGGGCAGGCCGGGTCCTTGAACTGTGATAGCGTTGGGTGCACCTTCGCCTCGGAGTCTGTATCCTGGGGGGAGACGCTGCACTGTGGTCTCCCTCTGGGCAGCCAGGGGCCGGTGCACCCCACTGCCAGACTGGAGCCACCCCCATAGTCCGTTGACAAATAAAATAGACCACATTTTTCAGCACAGGATGCCAAAACATGGTTAAATACGACATCCAAAGGGTTAAACATGAATCCCGGGGGTGAAACATGATGTCAAGGGGGTTAAATGCGACTTCCGGGGGTTAAACACGACTCCCGGAGGGTTAAAAACAATTCCCAAAGGGTTAAACATGCCTCCCAGGGGTTAAACAAAACTCCTCTGATTTAAACACAACTCCCAGGGATCAAACATGACTCCCAAAGTGCAAAACACGACTCTCAAAGGGATAAAAATGACTTCCAGGGATTAAACACAATGCCCAGGGTGAGAAATGAATCCTGGGAGTTAAACATGGCTACCAAATGGTTAAACATGATACCCAAAAGATGAAACACAACCCCTAGCTGTTAAACAAAACCCCTCGGGGGTTAAACACAGCACTCAGGAGTTAAATGTGACTCTCAAAGGGTTCAAGATGACTCCCAAAGGGTAAAACACGGCACCAAGAGGTTCAACACAATCCCTAGGGATTCAACACAACTTCCAGGGATTACACATGACGGACGGGGTGAAACACAAGTCCCAGGAGTTAAACACAACCCCCAGGGGTTAAACATGGCTCCCAGGGGTTAAACACAACACCCAAGTGTAGCGCCCCTCTCCACCTGGTTACCTTCTTTTAAAGCCAATCTCCTTTCAGGTTCGGATGGACAGGTCTGGGTTCTTCTGGATCCCGCCACCTACTCAATTTTATTCTTTCTGATTGATGTAACGGTGCCTCCACCCCCCTCACTCCTTCCTAGCAGGGTCACCAGGGCAGCTTGGGAGGAAAATTCTAGCCCAGGATAACCCCCACGTATTTGCCAGATAGTTGGAGACTCCCAGAAAATAACACAAACTCATACACTATAATAAACACAATTATATTAAACAGGAGACAATTATAACAGAACAGGGTAAAACACTATTTTTAGGGTCACCGGTGCCCAGCAACTGTGAGGTTAGTGTCCCGTTGGTACGCGTACTTTGTTGGGGCCCTTGATAACTGTTGACCACACAATCCTTCTCTGCAGTGGTTTAGCAGTGGAGCTGACTAGGTCCAGTACAGCCCAAAGGACTCACAAATGGGAGAAGGCAGTAAATCCCTCCACAGTTTAATATGCTGCAGGTAATAAAATCCCCAAACAAATTCCCTGCCTAACTAAAAACTGGTGCACTCACACACTCCATGAATGACCTCAGGTTGAGAGATGACTCAGTCTCTGCAAAGGGCTGCTCTCTTCTCACAGGGGTCCTCTTCAAGCAGGAACCAGGCTGCTTCGGTCCCAGAATTTCCCCTCACCGTGAAGGGGTGCAGGGCTCAAGATGCAGACCACACAACTGCACCAAAATTCAAAACTATAGCCTCCCAGGCCAGCCTCCAGACCCACACAGCAGGCAGCAGCCCTGAACTTGCTGCTAGAGCCAGCTGACCATGCGGTGACTGGTCTCACCCAGGGAGCTGGAGAGCCAACTCAGCCTGGCTGGGGAAGCCTCCCAGCAAACTCCACAAACTGGGAATCAGCAGTGGAGACATAAACCCAGCTGAGGGATCCTGCCTTCAGGTCCCTAGAGGCCAGTTCTCAGGGGGAACCCTGCATGCAGGCCTGGGGCTTACTAGCTCCCACACAGTCAGCCCCCCCCTTACCCTGGCTGGCTCCAGACCCCTCCAACCATGGTCTCTCCTTCCCCCTGGGAGGGGCATCTCACTCCCCATGGGTTGCCGGGCAGACTCTGGCCCTGGTAGGGAGGGGGAGCCAAGGCAAACTCAGAGTACCTCTCCCTGAGCTGCCAGCAGACAAGGCCCCGGGAATCCAAGCAATCTCCTTGGGGGTTACACAAGGATCAAACACGACTCCCAAAGGGTTAAACACAACAGTCGGGGGTTAAACACGACTCCCAAAAAGTTAAACACAACCCCTGTGGTTAAACTTGATTCGTAAAGGGTCAAACATGACACCCAGTAGTTAAATACGGCTTTCAGGGGTTAAATATGACTCTCAGGGCTCAAACACAATTCCCAAAGTGTTAAACAAAACTCTCAGGAGTTAAACACAATGCCCAAGGATTAAACACAAGTCCCAGGAGTTAAACATGACTCTAGGGGTCATACATACCTCCCTAAGGGTTAAGCGTGACGCCCAGTGGTGAGCCATGACTCTCAAAGGGTTAAACAGGATGACCAAGGCTTAAACACAACTTTGAAGGGTTAAACACAACTCCCACAGGGTAAAACACATGTCCCAGGGGTTAAAAATGACCTTCAGGGATCAAACACGACTCCCAAAGGGTTAAACACGACTCCCAAAGGGTTAAACACAACTCATAAGGGTTACACACAACTCCCAAAGGAATAAACACAACACTCAGGGATTAGACATGACATTCAAAGAGTTAAACACGACTCCCAAAGGGTTGAACAAGACGCCCAAGCCTTAAACATGATGCCCAGGAGGTA